TTCACGGCACTGTATATATATATGTGTGTGTGTGTGTGTTTGTGTTTAATTTGAGGCATAATAATAGAAAGGAGGAACTTTGGGGAAAAATGCTGGCAGGTGGAGAGAAAGAGAAGCGCAGATTTTGGATGGATCTGTCCATTTTTCAGTGCCAGGAAGAGAGCGAATGAGAGGAAGAAAGGAAGGAAGGAGAGAATATTATACAATGATCTCTCTATCCACCCACAGCTTTCAAACACTCTCCAACATAATTCACACTTACGCAACATTCACACTAAATCCCATCTCTACCTCCAGCAGGAGCCCTTCTGTTCTCGCAGGAACCATCGATTGTGGTGTGTGTGTGTGTGTGTGTGTGTGTGTGTGTGTGTGTGTGTGTGTGTGTGTTTGTGTGTGTGTTCCTGTTCATGTTTCTAATTATCAAATAAACAGAAATGCAATTTCCAGATTGGAGCAAAAGTTCAGACGTGTGCGTTTGTGTTGCCATTTGCTTAATATAATTAATTTACCTCAAATAAAGAGTTAGGAATAAAAAGATGACGATATTTTCTTGTGTTGTTCACTAATGAGGTCACACTCACACACACAAATACACACTTTTATCATTTTGTTTTGTTCGCTTTTTACAAAGTTTTGTCAAACTTTTATTTGCATGTTGTTAAAAGTATTTGGAATCTAGTTTTTCTGTTGTTATTATAATTAATAATTATTATAATTCTAAACAATTTATAATTTCAAATGAAAATGTATAATTATAATAATTTATATAAATATATTTTTATATTTATTTATATATATAATTTATCAAATATATTGGTTACACTTTATTTTGTGTCCTTGTTACAGTGTAATTATACATTTAAGTACTGCGTAATATTAATTTAACTACATGTACTATATAGTTAGACTAGGGTTTGGCTTAGGGTTACTTGCATGTAATTATGCATAATTTATTGTTATTATAATAGTAAGTACATGTAACACATGTAACAAGGATATGTTTTTAAGATACTGAAAAAACACAAATGTCAAAACTTCTCCAGGGCCCCAAAACACCCTCAGACACCAGAGGGTTAAAATAAAGCGTTGCCAATATATTTATATAATACTTATAACTGCTACAAATTATTATTTATTTCTCTTTTTTTTCATTCTTGTAATGTTCCAAATAGTTGATTGTGGATGAAATTGTCAGAAAGTAGCTTTTTTTGTGTGAACATTTTGTTTACATCTGACATTTATTTAACTTTCCATTTTAGTCTGATCAGGAAATCATACAGTCTAAGCATAAAATGTCATGCAGATTACAGGTGTGACAGATTTTTGCGTCAGATGTATAACGAAGCGTTGATCTCTAAGGATATTTGGGGATTTTGATGTGTTGTGATGCACACAGGCGCATGTGTGAATAATATCACACCCCTCTGGTTTATCATATGTCAGGCTATTGTGTGTGGAGAGACGGGCTGCAGACTCGCAGAAACGCCTGTAATGTGAGCTACACATCTCACATGATCACCGCCATAAACAAACTATATGACATTTCTGAATCTTTGAATCTGTTTCAATTAAATAGTTTTTTGGTCATTGCTGTTTTTAATTTTTATTTCGCACAGGTGTGTCACTGCTGTTGTTCTGTAATAACCAGCAATGTAATTTTGTCACACTACACAACAAAATAGCTTGTTACTGAAAAATTACTGTCATGCTACTGAAAAATGAATTCTACCGAGTTAGCAGCTTTGCTGCTTTTAGTTAGTTAATCCCTCAACACCAGTGTTAATTTCGTTGATGAATAATTTTCATCATAATTTCCGTCAACAACATTTTTTTCACAGACGCCAACGAGACGATAACGAACTAAAACTCTTTTTGAATGACAGAAACTATGACCTAAATCTATTGACATTTTCGTCAACTAATAAAAACGAGACGAAAATGTTAGGGAGGGACGATTTGGGAAGAGATTCATTCAGAAGGAATCTGCTGTGTGGTTCGGAGGTTAGAAGCGTACATGTGAACCGGCGGGACATAAGCTAACATATACTTGCTGCACGTCGCATAAAACGTTCAAAAATGTCAATATGTGGGAGTAAGAGAAGTGCAGGCATATGGATAAATCTGATGACGCAAGAGTGAACTCAATTCGGTCCGGTTTTCTGAGCGCAGACACTGAAGCACACACACACAGAAAGCGCCTCTCACAGCGCGCGAGTACTCTCTCGAGTCGCATGAACGGAGAATTACACACAACATGATGTCGAATTGTCCGATTTGACGAGTATTCACGTAAACACAGTTGATTATGTCTTAATTGAACGTAAACAGCAGGTAGAACGTGTATCGGTACATTGCATCCATTGCAGCTTCGGTTTTAAAGGGACAGCAGCCTAATTTAGTTGCTCTTGTCCGAGTCATTGATGTTAATCAAGCAACAAAAGACAGAAAATCATGCACCGCTCTTGACTGAAAAACTTTAGTAGCCATAAAGATTAATCTAAATTTATGAATAGAAATAAATAGGTCTGCTTGAAAGAATGAAGAATATGGTAAACAAGTTGCTATAAAGAATGCATAATTAGCCGATATAACCACTGGCATTTCATTAAAAAGAAGACCATGTTCTTGTTCTTTATGAGAAGTTGTTTTATTTAATTTTAACATAAAGGCATGTTATGTGTCACCATAGTTAAACTGGTGTCTATCATGATAAAACCTTAATATCAAACCTATATAATGAGTTTGGAAATTTTTGAGAAATGCTTATTAAATGCATTACACTGTAACTAAACCCATTAGATTTTAGCCAACTAAATTTACTGCAGATTTAGTCGACTAAAACTAGACTAAAACTAAAAACAATTCAGGTGACTAAAATATGACTAAAACTAAATGGCATTTTAGTCAAAAGACTATGACTAAAACTAAATCTGAATTTGCTGTCAAAATTAGCACTGCTCAACACTGATTATATTATTGGTTAATATAGTTTTTTTCCTCTCTCCTTGGTTATATAAGCAGAGATAGAGAACGCTATTAGATTTTGCTCAAATAGTTTTGTTTATGTTTTAATGAGTATTACTGTTGTTTTTGTGCAGTTCTGGATGTCTGCTTTAGCCACAACTCTTCCCGTACCATGTGGAGCCTTTATGCCTGTTTTCGTCATTGGTAAGTATTTGTATGTTAATGAAACTTTTAAAGCAAGACACCACAGGTTAATTGTGTAAAAAATTGTACTAATAGATTTTGCAGTACTTCCCCTGTTGATTAATTACAGTAGTGTTAGAAGTTTTCTGAAATGTTGTGTTTAAATATTACATTAAATTTGCACTAATTTGCATATATTTCCAGAGTTTAATATGAACATTGGGTAAAGCCAGGTTCAAAATTCTTGTTTTAATTTGTTGGCATGTTAGAGTTAAAGAGTTTTACTGAAGGGATTTTGGATTTCTCTTTTTATCGCTCCATAAATCTAAAAAAATTCTGTCAGCAAGAGAAAAGTACATTTTTCGCTATGTTTTTAGGAATAAAATGTTATAGAAATCATTGTGAAGGATATATTAACAAACCCCTCTATAAAAACCTTCAGAATATAGTTAGGAATAACACTCTAAAATTTGATGCAAGTAAGTACTGCTGAATTGGAAAAAGAAACTAATTTTGTGAAAACTACCTTTAAAGATATATATGTATATTGTAATTGTAATCTACCGATGCTAGCAGATAAGTACCAAAATAAAACCTTGTGATTGATATATGAACAAACCCTTCAGTAAAAACCTTTAGAATATAGATAGGAATAAAACTCTTTAAGGTTTGGTGTATGTAAGTGCTGCTGAAGTGGGAAAAAAAACAGGCTTTAAATGCGTGTATTGTAATTGCAACCTACAGGCGCAAATAGTTAAGTACCATAATAAAACCTTGTAAATGATATATTAACAAACCCCTTTATAAAAACCTTTTGAATATATAGAGGAATAACACTCTAAGTTTTGGTGTGTGTAAGTGCTGCTGAAGTGGAGAAAAAACTAATTTAGAGGAAACAGACACTAAAACCTATAGACACAAATAGATAAAGTGCAATAATAAAAAGCATGTAAATGATATATGAACAAACCCTTCAGTAAAAGCCTTCAGAATATAGAGAGGAATAAATAAGTTTTGGTGTATGCAAGTGCTGCTGAAGTGGAGAAAAAAACTCATTTTGAGGAAACAGCCTTTAAATATTTGTACAGATGCACATAGATACATTTTATAATATGAATGTGTATTTTGGATATTTTCTGTCCACTTTTCTGAAAGAAGACATGTTATAGAAGCAAAATAGTTAAAAAGCTCAAAATTGGCAAGTGCATAAAAAAACAATAGTTTTTTCTGTAGTATTTCATGCAGTATATTTGAAGAGTTCATTTGCAAAAACCGATAACTCATAAAAAAATGTTTTTTCAGAAATCACGTTTTTTTTTTAAATGTATTGCGCATTCCAAGTAATATCAATCAAATTGCAGTTGTGTTGTTTTGATTAAGTAATAATAACTTAAACAAATACAGGTAATTTACCAAATTAAAGTTCATTGAAAGTATGGTTTTTTTTTTTACATATTAAAAGTTTGTTTTATAGCAAAAGCAGATAACCCCAACAGTCGTTTTTTGGCAAAAGCAGATAACTACACATTTCATGTTTTAGAGATTAAAAAACACTCGTTTAATCTTTGTAATCTCCTCAGATGACAATGTAGACGTCTGACAAACGTTGTTGTGATCATAAACTGTATGGATGTGATTACACGCAATACTTAGAGCTTTTCCCTCACTATTGTAACGCGCTGCTTTTGCAAGCTTCTGTGGAAACGTTTCAGCTTTTATTTTCCTTTTTCGCCCTGTAGAAGATATCACCTGAATACAGCGCGCTGATTGGCTAAAATGGACTTATCGGCTTCTGTTCAAAAACAACAAAGGCGCTTGTCGGCTTCGCGATGCCTTGAAAGTGGACAAAACCGGCTTTTTTTGACAAAATGCGTTTAGGGTTCAGATCGCGCTATATGTGGAGAATAATGCACGGCAATCATCTCTCTTTTTTTTTTTAAAGTGCCGTATATCGTTTTTTGCAAATGAACTCTTCATTTATTAAAATGTGACCTGGGAGTGTGAACCTGTGTGTTTCAGGTGCTGCATTTGGCCGTTTGGTGGGTGAAAGTATGGCCGCATGGTTTCCAGAGGGCATTAATACAGATGGAACCATCTATCCCATAGTTCCCGGAGGATACGCTGTTGTGGGTGAGAAGCAAACTATCTTCAATAGACACGTTCACGCACACATTCATCACAGCTGATTGCCTTTTATGGAAATTGCTTCATAGTTGTCATAGTGATTTTGAGAGGCAGTGTGTGTTTGGTCGTGGATTGTTGTTTTCATTGCTAGTCTTTGATTAGTAGCCACTGGATTCAATTATGAAATAACAGTAACCACTTTTGAATGCTTATTATTTTATTTATAGCTTTATGGCCAATATGGTGAAGGGTTTAGAGAAGTGTATGATTTTGACAATCAAATGCACTGTAACAAATAGTTTTTCTTAGAAAATGAAATATTTCAGTATTTTTAAGTATTAAAATTATTAGTTTTATCATTATTAGTATGAGATATTTTAAATATTAGTAATATTTTTTAAATATTAAATACAATTTTATAAATATTTTACACAATTGTATACATTTCACAAATATATAAAAGGTATACAGAAATGTAAAATGTAAAAATTTGATTAATTTGATAAATTTCTACCTACTGTTTATTTATATTTAAGGCACATCTAAATAGCCATTTGTGTATTTTTTATTGGTGACTGTTTGTTTTGTACGAATTTTATTGTGATGTTGTGAAACACTTTGGGCTACTTGGTGTTGCTTGCATTAAAAATAAAATAAAATATAGAAAACTTTTTATTTCAGCTAGTTGCCAAGGCAACATTTATAATTTTTAAATTAGTTTAGTTTGATGTGCTAAATAACTAAAAATGAATAAAACTATATAGACATTTAAAAACAATTAAAACTAATGTAAATGACAAAAACACACAACAAAATTAATAAAACTTAAACTAAAATGTAAACAGAAAATATAAAAATAAAAACTGATTCAAAATATTAATAAAAATTATAATAGTATCTCAATGATAATAAAATAACATGCTGATTCACTTCTGGGTTTCAGGATTAATTACTTAAAAGCTGTAATGGCTAAAGAAATAAAGCAATTGCCAAATGCTTATTATATTATATATGCAATTAAAATATACAATTATTTATTATTTTACCGTTTCATTTAACTACATTAACAAAGTCATCTATTATTTGTTTATTTTTAAAGTGATTTACATTTTTACTTTTGCAGTAATACGTTTTTCCTCCGTTTTATAAAGATCAACAGACAGAGATGGTGTTTTCTCTTCATTAGTGTAAATGAACAGACTGTGTGTAAACAAGGTCTAAAGTTACACACACACACACACATTAGACTAATGGAGATCTGTGCAACACACACATCAATCTTAGTTTCCGAGGCTTTCAGATTTTCAGGATTACAAAGTTTCAGATGTTGTGTGTGTGTGTGTGTGTGTGTGTGTGTGTGTGTGTGTATGTGTGTGTGTGTGTGTGTGTGTGTGTGTGTGTGTGTGTGTGTATGTATGTGTGGAAGTTTGATTTTTGCTGAGTTAGAATCTGCAGAAAACTCACTTATCAGCAGGATGGACACACACACTCATTGACGTTCAACACTCTGTCTCTCCCTCTCCCTCTCCCTCTCCCTCTCCCTCTCCCACTTCACTTCCTGTCAAGTCTGATCTGTCCTATCACAATAAAGGCAAAAATGCCAAAAATAAAAAGTGTGAGACTTACTTTTTGTGGAGGTGCAGCTGGATCATGAACAGTGGGTACTGAGCCATCCTTGAGTTTTAACTTTTTAACAAAACCTGCTTGAATTGTCCCTCATTCAGAAAGCAGTCTGGAGTAAAATTATTTGCGCAGCCAGACATAAACGAATTTAGTGAAAGAACGAACTTTTCCACGACATTCTAATTTATTGAGATGCACCTGTAAAGTCCACAATACGATATTTATTGTGATATTTAAAAAAAAGGCACATGAAGATTTGGAAAAATAATGAAAGTTAAATTATTGTATCTAATGTACTTTGAGAGTTAAATATTAAGAGCGGCAACCCATGTTCTTAACTAAGAAAACTTAAGTCAGTCTTAAAAGAACTTTAAAGGGACTCAACCCTCTTTTTATTTGTGATATAGTGTCTCAGTCTAAATTACAGTCACACTGCTGTTTTAGGAAGCCTAATAAATTAGAATAGAATAATAACAACAACAATATCAGTAATAGCCACATATTGTAAAACAATTGCACTGTAAAATAAATGAAAATGAGTATTTACACTACAGCAGGGAAATTACAACACTTCTTTCCTCATTTCTACACTTGAAAGAGATATTGTGAGTCTGGACTGCGTTTAAACCGCTAGCTGTCAGCGATTCATAAACTGCACTTTAAGCTTTTATTTAGAAGGAAACTCCAGCTTCAGTGAAAACATGCTCACAAAAACACGTCTCGCTACAAATCTAGAGAAGCGCTGTCATCCTCTGCCGCTGAAATAAAACATAACTGGTGTCTGTTGCGTTCCCTGTTAGCTCTTATTTTATGCCTTTTTACCTCACATCACATATTATAGTAATCGTCCTAAATTAGAAATTTCAAAAGCTTAAACACTCAAAATTCATCCTGTGAAAATAGTACTTTAAAAGTGTTTTTTTTTTCTTCTTTTTTTAGTTTTTGCGATATCAACTTCAACTTCGGAACATAACTTAATTAAACACATGGCTTTGATTTTATAGCAATTTTAGATTCCAAAGATGCAATTTTTTTAGTATTTTTGTAGATGCAATTTTAGATTCCAGATGTAAAAATTTATTTTATATTAAATATTTTTAGTACAGTACATTTCCTTTCCTATAAATTTTAACTTCTACAAATTTTGTACTTTTTTTTTTTTTCTGTCACTTCAGCAATCTCCTGATTGTCTTCTTTAACAAGAGACAAAACATTCATGAGTTACAACCATTTAAGCTTGGATAGTAATTTTATTATTATTATTTTTATATAAAATATCTATGTCACTGGATTGCACAAAGGTGACATTTTTTCTATTAAAATAATTTTACATTAGAAGGATCTATTATATTATATTATATAATGTGTATTGTATGTGTACTGTGTATATTTATTATGTATATATAAATACACACACATACAGTATATATTTAGAAAATATTTACATGTATATACATTTATATATTTATATTATTATATTATATATATAAATATATTTAATATATAAACAACATATTTTTCTTAAATATATACATGCATGTGTTTGTATTTATAAATACATAATAAAAATACACAGTACATTAATCGCAATTAATTGTTTGACAGCACTAATTATATTATATTATATTATATATGTAAATTGTGGGTTTTTTGTTTTTCAGGTCCTCATGATTCTGGCATTGGCTTGAAGAATCTGTTATGTGCTCGACCTCAGACTGATGCAATGGAGGTGAGACTCTCTCTCTCTCACACACACACACACACGCAATCACTCTCTCTCTCTCTCTCTCCTACCCACACACACACTCTCTCTCTCTCTCTCTCTCTCACACACACACACACACACACACACAAACACTCTCTCTCTCTCTCTCTCTCTCTCTCACACACACACACACACACACAATTACTCACACACACTCACTCTCACACACACACACACACACACACACACACGTTTATGTTTATATAAGGGTAATCGTATGAAGTTTTTTGGTGTGTATGTTGTGTTTCCCTCCCTTTTCCCTTACGGAAGAATAATAACGTGGAGCACACAGTGGCTCCTGACTTCAGGCCCAAACGCGTCAGGATTTCGGTCTTGGTAAGAGCCGCAATTAAAACACGGGCTCGTCAGATCATCGCGTCATCATCTGCCATCATCTTTTCATAAACGCCTTCCTCGTGCCTGTTCCTGACCTTTGACCTGGGTGCACAAATAGAGAATCACTGGAATTTTACAGTAAAGATTTTACCACATTCCAAGACAATATTATGTTTTTTATTGTGTGGTAAACATTAAACTCAGTTTCGTTGTTTTGATCGATCTGCACTGGACGAGTTCAAAGGTCAGAAATAGTGTAATCTAGCAGGAGCACTGGAGGCAAGCCAAGCATGCGTAGCTGTCAATCATCAGCATGACATCAGAACTGGCCAATCAGTGCGTGTTGCATGAGAAGTGGGCGGAGCCAATGAATGATTGCGTCCTATAACACTCGTCTTGCTCACTTCATGTAAAGCGTAGTACTGCTGTAGAGTTTAGATCTTAAACTTTAAAATGTGTAACAATTAGACGCATGTAAATTTCTTCTCATTTACAGTAACGAACTACAATTATAATAGTGTTTTGATGCAAATTATGTTTACAGCAAATATCAGGCCTGCTTATTTTTTGGTAATAGCAATTACTTTACCACCTAAAAAATAAAATAAATGTATACTTTAAACCTATACAGTGATATATTACTTATGTGACTTTTATCTCCTTATATTTCTATAAATTCTTAAATATTCTATTGATTTAACCAGTTCTATGTTGTTTTACGTAAAAAAGTAAAGTCCTTATTTGAAGTTAATTTTAACGTCTTTATTTAAAGTTAAAAGTTATATTTATAAATGTATTAAATGTCTACTCTCTCGCATTACAGAGCAGTGGAATGATTTCCAAAATGTTAATAATTCTGCATTAATATTGACTTTTATATATTATATTATACTTATTCTAAGTCAAGTTTTTTCAACTTTTCAGTAAGTTACCATTTGTTAATATTAGTTAACTACATTAGTTAACATGAACTAACAACGAAACATACTAAAGCGTTTGTTAATATTAGTTCATACTAATTTGAACATTTACTAACACATTATTGACATTTTTATCTGAATTTAATTTGAACTAAATTAAGCTGAATAATGACACTTTTATCCTCTTTTGAGCTGCTTTACAGCTGAAATTGAATGAATGTAAAGCTGCTTTGAAATGATTTGAGTTATATAGAAAAGTGACTTGATGTTATTAAAATCAAAAATGGATTTAATGAGCTAAAAATGAACAGATGTGTTTTATTAACCGACTTTATACAAAGATGAATAAATACTGTAGCAAATGCATTGCTCGTTGTTAATGTTAGTTAATGCACTAATGGACGTTACTGTAAAGTGTTGCCTAGATTTCTATGTGAATGATTTCCAGCGTCAGTCAGCGCAGCTGTTGAATGACCCACATCTCGTGTAGATGAATCCAGACTGTTTGTGCAAATATATTTCTGAAAGCTGAACTGGTGTGTCAGTGAGGATGTCACAGTTGCTATGGAGACACATTTGCTACTTTGTAGCATGATATATTATAACGGCTACATAATGATTGAACCTTCATCACAGTTCTGCGACAGCAACGGAAATCCATATTATATGCTTCTGGCTCATTTTACTGAGTTATGTATGTTTAAAAATATATAGATAAAAAAGAGAAAGCCATACAGTTTTTCCCAGTTATTTTGCACAGACTGTTATGGAAATGGATGGTGCAAAACAGCTGGAACAGCATTGCATGGCTTTCTCTCTATTTTATATATTAAATTTAATTACTTGATTTTGTTGTTAAAAATGGCCGAATTATGTATGTTTAAAAAAAAAAATTTTAAAAGAGAGAGAAAGGCATGCAAATTTTTCCTTTTTTGTGCCAACAGTTGCAATATTAACCTATGTAATATAATATAATTTAAAAAGATAAATATTTATTATAGAAATAATCAGTGCAAAATAAAAATAAAAACTGGAAACATTTGCCTAGCTTTCTCTTTTTATTTTATTTTTAACTAATATTATATTTATTATACTTATTTTTAAGCTAAAATTGTTTTCATAAATAGATTACGGTAAAACTTTACCGTAGGCGGTGCAAAACAGCTGGAACAGCATTGCATGGCTTTCTCTCTATTTTATATATTAAATTTAATTACTTGATTTTGTTGTTAAAATGGCCGAATTATGTATGTTTAAAAAAAAAAATTTAAAAGAGAGAGAAAGGCATGCAAATTTTTCCTTTTTTGTGCCAACAGTTGCAATATTAACCTATGTAATATAATATAATTTAAAAAGATAAATATTTATTATAGAAATAATCAGTGCAAAATAAAAATAAAAACTGGAAACATTTGCCTAGCTTTCTCTTTTTATTTTATTTTTAACTAATATTATATTTATTATACTTATTTTTAAGCTAAAATTGTTTTCATAAATGGATTACGGTAAAACTTTACCGTAGGATTCCATTTGTTAACATTAGTTAATTAGTTAATATGGTTCTTGCTACTTTGATTGCTGAGTTTGTTGTCAAACATTACCGATTTTGTATGTTTAAAAAAAATGTTTTTTTTTAAGAGAAGCTTGCAAATTTTTCCATTTGTTTTGCGGCAAAAATTTCTTTAATAACCTAAATAATATCATATAAAATTAATTAAAAGAAGACAAATGTTTATATTTTATTTTATTTTCGTTAACTACATTAGTTAACATTATATAGTTCTTGCTACTTTGATTCCGTATTTTGTTGACTGAATTATGTATGTTTAAAAATATTAAACATAGAGAAAGCAGTGCAAATTTTCCCAGTCATTTCAGTGCAAAACAGCAGGAAAAATGTGCACGGTTTTCTCATTTTAAAAGTCACGATTGTCAAACACGTTTAACACACAAACCCACGCACATCATTACGCCGTCTCTCTCTCTCTCTCTCAGGTAGTTGTGCAGTAAGTGGTTTTACCGTGGTAAAAGAGCGAGACCCGCAGGCCTGCAGTCTGCTCATTACATTACGCTCACATTTCTACAGACATTTCTACAGCACTAATGGATGGATGTTTTATTAATGCATAGAGAGTGCTGCAAAGATTTATACGCCAATATCTGTGAGTGAGTGAGTGTGTCTGTGTCTGTGTGTGTGAGTGAGCATGTGTGTGAGTGAGCGTGTGTGTGTGTGTGTGTGTGT